ACATTGGCATTAATCTGGTGTTTTATGTTACTGCAGCAAACGTGAGGCTCCACTGTACAATATGTTCCTCTGCAGTTTTACCAAGCAAAACAGTGGTCAGTATTCTCTTTAATCCGTCTCCAAAGAGCCTGTTTTTTTTCTTAATGATTATTGCAGTGAGCAGATGTGACTCAAGATATAAGTGAGTTGTTTCTGGGTCATACATAATAGGACATGTTATTCTCTGTAGTATCCAACACTTGAGGGAATGGTCCTTTTAAATGTTTAATGATTCGGGGATACGCAGTTCCCTCTTGAAGAAAACTTTATCGTCAGGGGACTCGAAAGGTTTCCGCCGTAGGAAGCATGAGCCATCAAAATATTGTCTTGTACAGTATGCGCTTGCTTACCAGCTGATGCCAGGAAGCGTGTCTTCCAAAATAAAAGACAGGTTATAATGAGAGACTGAGTGAAGAGCGTTGATGATGGAAAGGGAGCAGTGTGAGAACAGTATGGAGAAGTAGGCTAATACACTGCTACTGTTGTGTATCACTGGGTTCATAAAGCAGAGAGGCATCATCAAAAAGCACATGGAAGAATCAATGTATTCCCCCTAGTCCCCGAGACGGTCTTTTGATGCAGAAACACACTTTCTTTCTCTCTCCATCCTCCCATTCTCCCTCCCACTCTCTCCCACGCTCCCACCATCGCTCACCGTGCTGCTGGTGAATTAAAAGAAAGTATGTCAGCTGGCAGGCGGGGAGCGGAGAAGGGAAAGAAAGAAGACATCACAAAGAATTCATTCAGTGAGTTCTCTGAACAAGAAACACGGGCTGAACCCATCGCCGCCTCGTGAGTTTGTTCGGGGGCTCGGAGGGTGCTTTATTTGGGTCATCCATCGGGGTTGAGAAGCCACCTCCATCCGTCCATGCTGCACTTCAGACACAAAGGCGGCAAAAAAACGGGACGGATGCATTGATTCCCATCACAACAACTCGGCCCCAGTTTCCATGGGGCGCCTCGCAATTAACAAGTTGCACTAAACACCTCCACTGTATGTCAGGGGCCCCGGCCGTTTGGATGCTGCTGTTGCTATGCCACCGCTGAGGCCTTGTTTGGAGTGCTGCGTAGCACCAAGTTGAAATGATTTTTTAAAAATCTCACAGCAGTTGATGTTCTGAATGCTACAAGCTCTCAGCGCTGCACGATGGTGAGCGTGCGGCGGGAGGAAGTGGATGTTGTGAAGTGGGTTAATGTTCCCAGCGTGAACGCCGCCTGTCTTTGGATGAACAGATTCTGATCCCAAAAAGTTCAGAGTTTCTATAAGAACCCTCGCTGAACTTTTGCTGAACAGCAAAAACGAGTGATGATCACGGGACGATGATGAATGCGAAAACATAATGTGGTTGTAGCGTGAGTGAAGAAGAAACGAGCTTTAGCCACACAGCAGTATCCATCTAAAGTAAGCTAATGTTAGCTACCGTTAGACACGATAAGCTACTGATCATGAAGAGCTAAAGTTTCTGTTTTTAGTGGCCCTTAAATACCATTTTTCATTTGCTTGTGACTATTGCAGGCTCAGCGATCTCTGCTCAATAGACGAGGCAAATAAAGGACGAAGAGGACTGAACGTTGTAGACGTTTTAGGGTCCCTTTCACACCAACATTGTTTGGTCCGGATTTTGGGATTTTTCAGTGTGTTCCAAACCAAAGTTACAGGAGTGAAACCTCCCCCGGACCACGTTCTGTACATAACAGCCCAACCTTGGTTCAACGAAAAGAGGTGCTCCAGCCTTGCGTTCAATTAACCAACATCTATTTGGTCAATTTCAGCCAGTTTATCTCGCGGCACTAGCAGGTTAGCATTTTGTTGTTTTGTTCGAGTGAAATGTCTCAACAATAACAATTGAATGGATTTTCTTGAAATTTGGTTCAGACATTTCTGTTCCCCACAGTATTTATAGTAATATCTTTGTTGACCCATGACCTTTTAGCCAACGACATCGTCAGGTCAAAATGTCAATTTAGTCAATACTTGGGTTTATACCTGCAAAAGTACTGAAATTCCCATCAGCCACAGCTGTACATCGAGATCTATGCTATTAATGAACGTTAGCATGCTAACGCAGCAAACTACCTTTAAATACCTACTAAACACCAGCATGTTAGCACTTTCACTGTTACCGCACTGTTAGCATCTAGCTCAAAGCACGTTAGGTGCGTTAGGTCTTGAGTAACCTCTCTTCGTATTGCTCTTCGTCTTGCTTGTTGGAAGAACATTTCACAATGTAAACCTATTTCTGTCCTGCGTGTTCTTTTAGTGCATTTGTCTTTGTTGCGTTCGATTATTTGCTGCTGTTGCGACCCTATTTCTCCCATCGGAGCGATGGTAATTCTGAAACAAAAATTATAACACCAATTAAATATTCTTTTATGAAAGCAATAAGTCGTATACCACAGCGCCTCGGCTCAGCTCACAGAGCTCCAGGTCACGCCGAACAATGCATCCATTAAGCCTTTTGAGGCTCATTGTCTGTAAGTGAAGAACTATGATTCGTGGACAGTTTTGACAATCTTCATCACCATGTGCCCTTCATTACAACTCTTTGAGCAGTTATACAGATCCAGATCCTTTGCACTGCCAGATAACGATGTCACGCCCCGAGGCTGTGCCCTTTATCCATCTCGTTATCACTTGCTATATTTTTACTTTTCCACGTGTGAACAGCGCGCTCGTTTCTTAAGCTCCAGCATCAGGATGCAGACCGAGTCGGCGAGATCAAAATGAGTGATAGCGAGGCAGAGGGAGTGGATGCTGCTCGTGAAAAAAACACTGTTGTCTTTTTTTGTTCCGATAACCTTTGGTTGACTTTTGCTTTACGGCCCTCTCGAGTGCTTTTTATTGGTGACTTGGCATCTTGTTTGCCCGAGGTCATCCATCAATATCTCTGCCAGCCTCCGGACGACCTCCTGAGAAACGGGCAGGGCCGTACGGTTTCATATCAACCCAAAACCAACATTCATTTATTCATTATTTACCTGTTTGGATGTTCTAAAATTAGGCCTGGCAGAGGTTGTTTCCAACACAGCAAAAGAACCTGACAAAGTTGAAGAGTAGGAGTTTGTATTTTTATTTCCTCTCAAAACTGAGTGCAGAGATGATCTGGGGACCTGATGTGCTAGAAACAGTTTGACAGCAAATCTGTTCTTTGGTGCCTTTGAATGTGGTACAGAGGAAAGAACTCTGTGCTGTGAGTAGGAAGTTCTGCAGGTAGTTACAGCTGGATAAACACACATATTGACTGGCTGTGCTGTTTCAAACCCGAGCTTCCAACATGCCATTGCCTTTCTCCCGTTTTCTACAACATTGCCTTGATCTAACCCTCCCACTGGCCTGATCATCCAATAATTGGCCGTGTGTTCCCCTTTAGCACTCGTGATTGGCCGGGCCTAATTTTAGCATATTCAAACTGCCAAAACAGTATGAGCTGCTCCTCTATGTGGGCTTGAGTGTGTCCTAGAGACTAAGTAAGTTACTCACATGCCCCCCATTAAACTGCTGAACTATGATATTCTTTAATGATTAGTTTAATGATAAACTGCGCAATATATCTTGGGGTTAGAACCCCCATATACATTATAAAGGGAAGAGATTAAAAATCTATCACGGGTACCCCAAGGGGCTCATGCAGCCTACTGTAGAGAGGCAGGGCTGGGACTGGAAAGCCAGTCTCAGCATTTTCTAAAGTCATTATGCATAAATAGTGTGTGATACGGCTGGTTTATACATTTCCTTTACCTGAGATGGAGGGGAGGAGGTGTTAGAGTGCCGAACATGAGTCAAATGGGGTTTGAAAGGTAATGCATCTATTCTGGAATGGGGCAAACAGAGATATTTGCAAATATTTCTTTTTGGCTGGCTGGCTCTATGTCCCTCCAGCATTTCAGTACTTCTTTTACATAACGGTCGGAGACTCGTAAGAGACTGATGGAAACACAAAAAGAATGGCAAAGAATCGTCGCATCGGAGGCCGAGATATCCCAACTTTTCGTTCCTCGAGCTCCAACAACCCTTGATACTACTCTTCCCACAATGCAACCTGATGCCCTAAAGAACCACAGCAGGTTTGACTTGTTAAATGAACTGCTACAAACACGTGACACCACAAGAAGGTTTTGACATTAGGCATTAGAAAACATTATACTTTCCCCTTGATAAACAACATTTGTTTCGCTAGCACAGCTTCATGCTAGTTGTCAGCTAACCAGTGCAACTGCAGACCTTTTGTCGGCTCGTGCTTCTTCTTCAGCGGATTTGCTGACAGAAGCACCATCGCAATTTTCTGTTAGATTCATCGCCTCTGCTTCGAACTCCCACTTCAGTAGCCGTTGAGTTTAAGATGTCTCAAACAATGTTTTACTGCTGTCACCCAAAGTCTTGAGTAAATACTGTGTCCCTTTGGGTGACTCTGTCCTCTTTCTAATGGCCTAATTATAATCTTTAGCTTCAAAGCAGGAAACCCTCTTTGTAAATACACATTACGCTCTATAGTTGTGGGGTTCTAGTGGAGCTTCCTCTCATTGATGCTGCGTGAATGAAGCGGCTTCTCCGCTGATCTTTCGTGGGTTCTTCCAGAAGGAAAGATCCACTATACGGCTTTTCCTTCGTGTCCTCACCTGTTTATATGTTCATAGACAGCATTGCTATTTTTCCAATATGGTCACTCTAAAATATGATTCATGTGGAAGCTACCGATTGCAGTTTTTCAAAATAGGCTATTTCCGGGTAAAACAGATGCCAAAAAGATGGTACCAGACAGAAATAATCAGATTAGTTGAATGTAAGACATTTTAAGTACAAGCTGATGTTGTGAAGACTTGAACTCTTGGTATCAACTGAGAAAAAACTAAAACTTTCTTTATATAGACAAGTCACTCAATGAATCATGAACTTTGTGGCTCTTGAGTAGGGTGATAAAATTGGCAACAATTGCTGAATAACAACCTCCGACCCCACACAGTTGTTTTGTTTTTTAATCTTTATTTATGCAGGGAACTACTGTACTCGTATTCACCAACACTCTGGCACACATTCATAAAGTTCACTTCATACACAAAAGATGTCCAGCTGGGAGTTGCAATGAAACGTCTTCAACTGTTACTGTGTAGTTGCACGGGAACAGGTGGGGGTTAAGTGCCTTGCTCAAGGGCACCTGGATAGTTGAAGAGGAGACACTCCCAAGAAGTGTTGGGATACGTACAGGCGACATTTTATCAAAGTTCTATTGTATGTGCGAAATGGCCGTTCATTGCATGAGCGTGCTCTACATGTACAGTATATGCAGATTCTTCACGGGGTGTCATGCATGCTCGCAATACCAAATACACAGGTACAATGTATATAATTTATTCGATGGTTTAACATGATAACCTACTGTAAAAGGAAGAGAAACATACATAGATATACAGTATAAATCTAAGCCTAAATACATTTTGTGGCAGCACAGAACATTTCACATTCCATTATGGGACCAAGGCCATACAACACCTGAAGTCTTTGATGACTTTTTTTTTTTTCATTTATTATTTTTAAACTTTTTTTTCTTTTTATTTTAGGCTCACATGGCATATTGTCATCTCTAAAATGAGCAGTTGGCAGTTCCCGCGAGTGAGTTTTTGCAAAATATCTCTCTCTCTTTTTTATTCTTTTTTTGATCTACCCAAGTTACGAATTGTAGTCGCATGCATGATAAACAAGTACCGAGTTTCTGTCTCATTCGCTTTTCGACTGCACTACGTAGTCCGGTACTTCAAATAATGACTCAAAACTGCAAAAACGTACCCGAAGGTAATCGTTTAAATCAAAGTGAACCACTCAGCCAGGAAGTAAAAAAGTTATTTTCTTCTAGCTTTAGTGTTCCAGAAATCTGCCTCATTATATCTTATTTACACAACACCGAAGCTTCACAAATTTTTTTTTGGAGATTTATTTCGTACGAATTTCCTCCTTTCGAAACTACGCGAAGCAGCTTGAAACGTCTTTGGACAAACTGGTTTCAATGCCTGAACAACCTTGAACGCGTGAGATCACGAAACAACGCTTTGTGCTTTAAGTCCGGACATCTTCTCTCACTGTGTGTTCGGACAGAACGCCGAGCGACTCTTAGCTGGCGGCGCGATTGCATACAAAAAAAATGTACGGAGCGACGCAACGCGAAAAACGCATCCGTACGAGATGGAAATGTCTTGACTTCCAGGAAAAACATTACGCTCATCCCATGGTTTTATGAATCCACTTCATAAAAACGTACAGAGAGGGAAGTAACAGAAAGAACCGGTGAGTCCGTTGCTAGCTAATGTGCCGCTAACGTACAGTTGGTACATTGCTGTCCGGGGCGGGAAAAAAACAACAAATTAAAACAAATGACGCAAGGTGAAAAGGAATTTCTTCTGAACACACCTTTCGTAAGATGTTTTGGCTTATCATACGCGATATTGTTTCATCTACAAATGGAGCTTTGGACCCGGGTCATAATGTGCACTGCGCCCCGTCTACACAGTAGAAAACAGGACAAGAAACTTGTATGTGGAATCAACTAGAGCCCTAATTAAACGGGGTTGAGGTCAATCCTGGTTCCAGACAGAAAATTGCATTTGTGCGGCAACAATCCAAGTACAATACATTCAGTTCTTAGTCACATATCAATCGGTCTGTATACATAAAACTTTACTTTTTTCTTTGTTAAATTGATCCCAACTTTGAACTCAATGTTACCGAGTAGCATAACATGTATTCTTGTACATGCACAGTACGTCATGTATCCGTGACAAATTAACGCCATCGTCCATGAGTAGTAACTGCTTGATTGCTCTGCGACCTTAAGGTGGAATGGCACAGTTTATCAAGAGTGGGACAAGGAGAGCTATTTTTATCCACACAACTATTACACGTTGACATTTGTCCATGGTCCAGCAAGCAGCACAGAAAATAAATGGTCTGCCCACGCCCGTCCTATCTCCAGCTCTCCTTATCCACATCTCTCTCACACACACACACACACACATGCACGTGCACACGCTCTTAAAACATCGTCGCCTCCCTCTCTCCCCCTCCCTTTTCCTCGTAAGAATGGGCGTGTTACATTCTGATGGGGAAATGATGACCATGGCTCATTATCCTCTCCCTGAAGATTGGATCTGGTACATTCAGCGCTCGTGTGTGCTTATTAATCAGACAGAGCGGAAATCGATGAAAACCCATTTTGCGTTCGCTGCTGCATGGCGAGTCGTAGGGTAACTAACAAACGCAGGGTGAACATACGCACAGTGTCTGGAGTGGATTCCAACATGGTCGGATGTTTGAGAAGATATGTTTGAGAAGATATTCGGAGTGCCCCATAAATGCTCAAAAACTAAACCGATGCTTGTAACTGACCTGTTAATTTGTTTTTGTTTTTTTTTTACTTTTTTTGCACTAAATATTCTGGCAATTAATAGCCAGTATGACAATCACAAAATGCTTCGATCATTTTCATTTGGGGTTGCACACACAGTATATATATATATATATATGTGTATATATACATTTATGTATGTACACACCTATGTACTTATGTACAAAAAATGGGTTTCATTCCTCCACTCTATCACCACAACAGAGATAGTGTTGAGCAAAAAAAAAAAAAAAAAACACGGGTTAGGAAAATCAAATGAATACCTGAAGACACACAGAGTACAAAAATATCATAATATTTCATGGATTGAGTAACCATGTCGCCCAAAAAGGCCCTTGGCAGTTGTTTTAAATTAAATAAGACAGTTTGTTTCTTTTAGAGGAAGTTTGATAAATTTGAGTGCAATTCTGTCATGCTATCACTTGAAGCTGAAGAAATGGCAGTTTTATTCATATTTGTGCTTTCTTTTTTTTCCTTATCAAATTACCAAAAAAAATGAATATTTCAGCGACACTTTTCTTTGTCGAGAACTAGTTTTCAAATAGCAAAAGATTCAGAACCTGAGTCTCAGTCATCCTGAACAGAGGAGAAAGTCCTCAACTTTAAAATGATTGTGTTTGGGTAAACGTTCACCAGATCAATGCATGACATGGTTAATAGCAAGTATTCTGTATATTATCAATGCGACACATCGACAGAGTCTTCTGTAAAGTTGTGACATAATCCAAGGCAAAAGAGAAGTCATTGTCTTTCCATTATGGTTGATCATTACATGCATTAATAGTGCATAGGATACCAGTCAAACATACATTAGTTTGTTTCATGGACTTTTAGGAATTGCCTGCATTTATCTGACCACCTGTTGTGTTGTAGAAAGGTTTCTTAATTATTTTTTTTGATTAGAAAAATCATTGCGTTTTGTGTCGTTTTTTTTTTTTTTGCAAATACTTATTTACTTATTCAATTGCTGGCTTTCGTGTCTCTCTCTATTTACACATTACTGAGAGGGCAAATGTTGGGAAATGACTGTCACAAGTCCCAATTACAGTACATACTTTAGAAAATAAAAAGACATTGGTACTAAGGATTCAAAGACTGCAAATATAAAAACAATTTTGACAAGAACTTGGTCCAAAACTCAGTAGTCTTTTCTCAGTCTGTTTTTTTTTTCCCGTCTCAAAGTGTTGCAGTCTTTAACAGATTCTATATATAAAAGCAACCAAAAAAAAGGAAGAAAAGAAGAAGAAGAAAAAAAATCAAACAAACAACAACAAACATCTCAACAAAACAGTCCAATCAGACATAGTAGAGCCAGTAGATGAGGTTGAACAGTGAGAACACGGAGGGGAAGATGATCCGTGACCAGCGGTCAATGGCGTTCACATCCGTCAGGTCGGGGATTTTGATTTTGAGCTGCGAGGACCGCCTCCGCAGGCGGCTGCGCTTCATCTGGGCGGACCGGTCCAGGGAGTGCCGGCTGGTGGAGCGCGGGCCGATCCCGCCGCTCTGCTTGCGGTACTGGATGTGCGACGAGGCCGTGCTGTCCAACTGCACCATGGACTGAGAGTTCCTAATGTCCGCCAAGCTGGTGGTGATCTCGCCTCCCCCCACCTCGTTGTGGATCTCCAGGGTGGTCAGCAGGATGTTCCCGTGGCCGTGCGGTTCCGCCTGGGTGGGCAACGAAACGAGAAAGCTAATTAGCGACACTGTGCGAACGAATGGAGCAGCTAGTGAGGATTCTACCTAGAAAGCGCTCTCCCTCAGTGCACAGCGCATTCAAGACCATGAAATGTGGATGTCATCATGGAAGGATTACTCAACGGGCCAACCGGGCACAGGCCCAGGGGCCCAGAGACTCCAAACCACCACAAAGACTAGCAACCGGTTACAGAGAGACACACAACATCTACAAAGAGACTCAAAACGACTACAAGGGGATGCAAAATGGCAAAAAAAGATGAAAAATGACTATTAAGGGATACAAAACGAGCAGTCATTTTACATGTGGGTGTTTTGCTCCTATGTAGGAGGGTGGGGGGCCCAATTTCTCATAATCTCATTGCTCTTTGGAACATTGGGGCGTTTTCATCGCCGTGCTTTGCCTTTGCTCCCGACTAGACAGGTGTTTGTAATGATAGTTTTGTATAACGCTTTGCCCGTCTGCATTGAGACATTAAGTACACTTATCATCATTTTGTGCATCGCAAGAAACCTTTTTGTTTCTCGTACATGGAAAAGTGATCGAGTGAAGGAGGGAGCAGTTTGACGCGCCCGCCACTCAGTCCGATGGCATTTTTGTCAATCAATGGCAGCCACAAATGCAGCTTCTCTGCATGACTGAAGAGCAAGAGGAACGTTTCCATTGATAAATGATCAAAAGAAATGTTGTTGGTCTTCTTGGGTGGCATGCCTCCTGCTACAACCTTTGCCACGTTCAACAATTGAATCAAGCATATAGGACACGTCACACTCCATGCCTATGATGTGTGCACCACAAAAACAAATCAACAATAATGGGAAATGGCAATCATTCATGCAAATGCAGCAACTGTGGAAGTCCCACCTTTCCCTTTTTCTATATTTCAGTGTTTGCATATTTCAAAAGGGTTTTTAGGCCCATTAAGGCGTGTTCACTGACTTCCACTGACTTTATATGAACTTGCACTGCGTCTTGTATTTGCTTCCCATTCAACTGTTTTACAATAGATATTCTACTATTTTAGTTCTAACAAATGTTTCCAGAATTGAATACACTTTTTCAAAAAAACTTCCATTTCTAAAAGCATCCTGGCGCTAAGTCAGCAAAGATGCATGATTGGGGGGGGGGGGACCTCTGCAGTAACTACTGATGTCACTCCGTGGGAGACGTGTGACAGACGTGGCTTTTGATGATGATTTCAGTAGAATACAAAAAGATACACAGACGGCATGCATTCAAGGGTGACCTCTGAAAGGAGAAAACCGGCTTCATAATCTGAAAACACTTTTACGATGCGATCGAGCATGAGCATCATTTCAACGTGGAAAGAACTGCAATGAAGAAGTCAAAGTCAAAATGAATACTCCTGAGAGTATGGCAATGTCATGAAGATGTCTGTTGCTGCTTGACTCATTCCATGGATGGGGAGGTATTTTTTGCATTACGGCAAAAAAAATAAAATAAATAAAAACATCCATGTCAGCTGATGGCAATGGCAGAGTTGACTCAGGGATATTGAAGAGTCTCGCTGAACGAACAACTCACCGAGCGTGAGTGGCGAAGACCTCTAACCTGATTGGACCGCTTTAGGGACGCGGTCCTACTACCTGCCTCCTGAGGAGATGAAAATATTCAGCCATATGTGGGGAACAAAAACCTGAAAATTGATTTTTTTTTTTAAGGCAACATATTTTGCCTACTGAAGCCTCCGTGTGGGATACAGATGATAATGTAAAACAGTTCAGTTATGCAGAACATTTTCCTTTTGCTGCTTCTGCTATCGAGAGCTGACAAAACAGTTGATTTTAGAATCATCGGATAGTCAAGGCTGTTTTATCATTCCAGTCCTGTTAGGAGGAAGAAAAGCGAAGGAATTTGAGAGTCCACTCAAGACGTTTTCCTGCAGCATTTTCTGTGGAAATAACCAAATATTCACAGCCATGCAGTCATTTATTGAGTTACTTATACTTTAATTCAACCCCTTCATCCGCTGATAGTTTGGGTCTAGAAATCACGTCAAATCTGAGCTCACCCTCGCGGCGTCGTATTTGGCCGCCCTCTCGTTGTTGACCTTCTCCGCCTTCTCTGCCAGCTTCTTTTGCATCTGAGGACCCCTCCCGAAGAAGATGTAGTTGACGAAGGCGTACTCCAGCAGGGCCAGGAAGACCATGACGAAGCAGCCCATCAGGTACATGTCGATGGCCTTGACGTACGGGATCTTGGGCAGCGTCTCCCTCAAGTGGGTGTTGATCGTGGTCATGGTCAGCACCGTGGTGATCCCTTAAATGACGAAAAAGGGAAAATGTATTACCAAAGCAGCATGGAACAACACATTTTAAACAAATGCACAGTAAATTCGACCTGCTAAGATTATCCAGCAAAATTTAAAAGATGTTTCTTTTTCTTTTTAAGGCTTTCTCATTACCAATCCTGGCAATAAATCTGGGACGGTACATTGGATGCCTAATTAGTCCAAACCTGTCACAGCATAAGCGCCCCGTCATTCTAAGCAGATGCTTCAATCTCGTCGGTAACCTTAAGGTCACGCTGGAGAAAAACTCCAACCGATATCTCAGGTGTTACCATAGAAACACATTTTTTTTTATAGAAAACGTTTGTTCTGTGGCTATTTCCTCTGCTAGTTAGGACCCAGTGGGAAAAAAGAAAGATCTGAAATTGTCTTGCTGAAGTGTCAAAGAAACCGTGAGGGGGGGGGGGGGGGGGGG